CATGAAAAATTGTCCAATACCGCAAATGTCCCCCTCAATATTGGTCGAGTTATTTTTTACGTGCAAAAAAAGAACTCGAACAATATTCCCCCAATACGGACCTCACGCTAGTTCAATAACATCTATATACGGACCTCACGCTAGTTCAATAACATCTATGTAAAAGTTAAAATAACTATCTTATTATCACCAATTTTCATTTTAAAATGTTCGTCAACAGGATAACTATTAATTATCAGAGGCAGATCGAAAACGGAGAGCTATTATTAATTTTACATACACTGGTTGGAATAAGCTCTCACGCACAAGTGTTTTTTGATGGACACTTTCAAAGCAATAAATGACCCCAGTATCGATCAGTAAGGACCTTATTATGCAAGAAACATTTTTAACATTTGTATTGTTAATTCGCTGGAAGCCTAATATTGTAAGTCTTCTGGTTTCTCTTTTATCAGGCCGCCTCCCTGCCACCTCCTGTAGCGATATTTATGTTGCCAAATAGTGCATGTATGAGCGCAAAACAAAAGATTGTGCATTTGTTTGCTCCTTTGAAGTTTGCCGGGCTTCATAAACCATTTCCCTCTATTAGCTATGCTTCAACAGCCAATACTTACATTTGTTTGGTTGGCACATGAATAGGAGTGTTCACTGTTTATCAACATTACGTCAAATTTGTTTTGTTATTCAAATTCGCCAATCATTAAACAAAAGAACTCTTTGTTTCAACAGCCAATAGTTCTCTGGTTGGCACATTAATAACAATAGGTGACGTAACAAGAAATATCGCTATAAATTACAATAGGCGATGAAACGCAAAATATCGCTATTCTGTAACATTCTTTATCTATTTTCTTCCGTTTTGTGTGGTTAAATAAAAACTTGAAAACTTGTAAATCTGAATTAAACGGAAATATGATTGACTTGTTATCACTTCTTTATAATTATCTACGTTAGACTATTGTTTAGTCTACGTGCTGCCTACGTGTAGTCGTATCCACTAGTTTTCTCTCGGGGGTTGGTACGACTACACGTAGGCTAACTATTGTTTTGAAGTTTTCTTGACACTTAAGCCATGATAGTTTTCTTAATATTTCTTTCACTTCAAATTGCATGACGTACTACAGTCCGGATATCGGTTGTTCACGGTCCAGTTATTAGCGTTCCTGTTTTCTCTGCAGCTGCGTGATGACTCGACATACGTGCTCACGCGTTAGTTACCAAGGCGACGAGTCAAACAAACAAACAAACCCTTTCCACGCTTAACGCGTCATTCCTCGCGTGATTAATCTGACATGACGGTTCGCTGGTCTTTGACGGTATGAAATAAAATACCCGGCTGCTAAACGACAATTTTCTACGTTATTCCCCCCTCCAATCTTACATGTAAAACAGAAGTGGCTACAACGTTTAATTTTGATTATCTTTCGGTTTGCATCATGATCATTGCGTGTCCCCCCGAGGGGTTTATTAGCCGGAATCATTTACATCACAAACTATCGCAACCCTCACGCAATGTATACGCCAGTTGGTATATATTAAATTCTGTTCAGTATAAAAAGTCGGTATATATATTCACATATTCTCGAATAGACCTATCGTTTTTTGAAAAAAATATCAGCCCTTTAAACCTCAATAAGAATATATTAAAAAATAAAACACGGTATTTGCATGCGAAACTGACCTATTTTGTTCTCGTATATTGGGTGTATTAGCTTTGTTGGTTGTTCATATTATGGTATGAAATACTAAGTGGGTGAAATAAACTTTATACTCGATCGTGTAGTTTCGAGTATTGAATTATGTTACTGACACAGATCTACTGCATACATAGCTTTCAGTTCATCTAAAAATTAAAAAGTATGTTTTCTGAACTTCATTTCTAAAATCCACTTAGTTAAAATAACTGTTTCCATGTGCGGAAACACGCTGTTAAAAACTGCACCTAAAAATGCGTGACCTTACCTTTAGATACGCTGATCCATTGCTGTACACTGTCCCTAGAGCTACATCGTAGCCCATCATCATGTTGGGTGCCTTGTCCTGAGCGAAGCCAAAGCCGACCCAACCTGTCGTATTAACGGTCAAACAAAACTCCACCTTATCTGAAGATGCGTTGTATTTGTACGAAACATTAAAATTTCCATTGCTATCGAGCACGATCGTGTTAGAATAAATAGTACTGCTTTTTGTGGAAACCACAAAAAATAGCGTTAAAAAACACAATTGAAGAACAGCCATAATGCAAGACGACGACGTTAACGTTGTCGCGTGAGAAACAGAATGACCAAGCATGTTTTAGTCGCTTTATATAGTCATTCCAACTGACGACACAATCAATATCTTTTGTTTTCGTTTCATTTTCTTCCTGTTTAGATTAAAATCACGCATGCACGATATATTTTAGATCATGCGCAATTTATTACGGAAAACAAGTATAAATATAGCCGAAAAAATTACACACGCACGGATGGGCCGCGGAAAATTGGAAATGGTTGCACCTTGACCTTACATATTAGCATATAGAAGGTCTGGAATTTGGCTCAGTAACAAACAGGTGAAAACGGCCGAGGTAAATTTTAAAATAGCCCGATGACAAATTAGAACGCCAGCCCGAAATGAATTGACTCTATAACGTTGTGTACTTAAACCTCAAATAAATGACAACTGAGAAAACGGCCTAAATTACAACTGACAACGGCCACTGGCAACAGTACTGAATAAGTCAAAGAAATATTCGGAATTTTAACAATGCCCTCAGGCAAAACAGGACAAAATAGCTGAAGTACATGTATATAAGTATCTTGGAAACATGCAAACAAACTAAATTTATCTAAATGTAGTTACTTTAAAGATTATTATGGAGCACATATTTGATATCTGTTGCCCCATTTCAGATCATGTGATATGTATAGTGTGAAAATGGCTAAACTCGTATGTGCTATTATTTTTTATTAGATAAAGAAACATTAATTGTTGTCTAATCACTCTGCAGTGAAACGACAACAAAATAATTTCTAACTTAGTATAAGTAACAAAACCAGACCATGGTATAGGAGGGGGCATCTCGTTTATTGATCAGACATAAACGGTGTTTTTACTAATATCATTAGTAATACAGCACATATAAACTAATGTACTAAAGTAAATTTTCGTAAGAGAAACGATCAAAAACGGAGATGCCGTCGAATGACAATTCCTAACTGACAAACTGCTTAAATATTCAATTTGTAACATGATTACGTAACCTGCATACCAGCGGAAAATAGAAAGGATTACATAATCTTCATACCAACCAACGCACAGCTATAATACAATAACAACGTGAAAAATTACATTTATAGATCGTTTTCACGTGACGTCATCAAAATGCTAAATTCAAAACTATTGGTCCTACAAAGTTGTTCTTTCAGTACATTCTATAGATCAGTGTAGTTAGTTGCTGGGGAAATGTTTGTGCCAGCAGATTGCTTCGTTTTGGAGATAAAACGTTTTGAAATTTGAGATGGCCTGGCTCAACGTGACCTGAAATGTTACAGAAACCAATATTGTCGCCCTTTTTAAATACTTTTCAGATATGCTAATAAGTTAAAAATGATAACCAAAGCATTCAGAAGTGAGAACTCATGACTTTGGTAGCAAAATCTTTTTTCTTCTCGCAGACATTTTTGGCCACCGTCTGGTACACCAATATGGCGGACCCATACTAAGTTCTGTAATTTTCTGAATATTGTTTTCCCAATAACTTCGCTGCAATGAACACTACCAAATCAAAACTTAGGGAATATATTTCTTTCCACCTACTCTACAATCTCTGAGTTTGTTGATGTTTTTGATGCACGCAAAACGATCTTGTTATTTTGGTGAAAACGATATATAGGCAGAGAAAGTAACATCAGGATCAATGCAAACTTGGACTGACATTTATTTGATAGGTTTATGACTTATCGATCGAGTGTAATTAAAACTCCGACTGAAAATCAATCTCGTTCCCAGAGTCCTCGTTACCCTTGTCCAGCGGTGGAGCGGCCAACAAGGACCTTTGGGGGAAGCGATCCGCCATGACAGGATTCTTGGACATCCGGTTTTACTGCGCATGTGTTCTACTCCATGTTTCAACTAACGGACGCCAAGATTCTTGGACTTTCGGTCTTACTGCGCAGGTCAGGCGGATCATTCTATCCCAGAGGTCCTCAATCTCGTTCCCAGAGTCCTCGTTCCCCTTGTCCAGTGGTGGAGCGGCCAACAAGGACCACTGGGATAGAGTGATCCGCCTGACCTGCGCAGTAGGACCGGAAGTCCAAGAATCTTGGCGTTAGTTGAAACATGGCGTCGAACACATGCGCAGTATAGCCTGAAGTCCAAAAATCCTGTCATGGCGGATCGCTTCCCCCCAGAGGTCCTTGTTGGCCGCTCCACCGCTGGATAAGGGTAACGAGGACTCTGGGAACGAGATTGAGAGGTCCTTGTTGGCCGCTCCACCGCTGGATAAGGGTAGTGAGGAATCTGGGAACGAGATTGACTGAAAATAAAGTAAGCTAGGCTGATACTGCGTAGAACACTTAACGCGACAACGACATGATATAGTCCGAACTGAAAGCCAAAATGCAACGCACGACAACGCAATGACGTCATAATCTCCCATAAAACATTGCGAAAACAAACATGGCGGCGCGCGGGATATTTGAAAGTAGAAAAAGCAGAAACAAATCGCCTAGTATTCAAACCAGTTAAAGAATTATCGACTTCAAACCCCTAAACCAGTTTTACACAAACACCAACTTATGATTTGGAGCAAAACTGTTTTTCAGCCGAGATTCCCTTTAAATATGATTTTCCAGTCCGTCCTGCGCAGCCTCAGAGTTTGACTTGAATTTGTTGATATGTTACATTTCGGTAATAGCTTACATGAAAGAAATGATGGTATATTTTAAGCTTGGTAGAAATATGAGAGATATTATTCTGTCAGTTAATACACAAGCTACTCGGAAAAAAATTCCGAGTTCCCCCAACAGGAGTCGAGCCTATGACCTTCCCCACACCGGTCGAACGCTCTACCACTGAGCTACAGAAGACTCGTGGAAGCTAAGGCCATAGTAACTAGGTTCAAGTGTGACAAACATCCCGCATACTGCTAGGACTAGATTTGTCGATGAATGAGAATTTGTGAAAAGAACCTAATTATATGGCTTTAGCTCCCATGAGTCTCCTGTAGCTCAGTGGTAGAGCGTTCGACCGGTGTGGGGAAGGTCATAGGTTCGACTACTGTTGGGGGAACTCGGAATTTGTTTTCCGAGTAGCTTGTGTCACTGACAGAATAATATCTCTCATACAGCTTACATGAAGTTTTGGAGTCCGCAATTACGGGTCGTTACGTTTAGGAATGCTCCATGAGCTGAAACGTCGGTTAGAGATAACATCGAGGTTCTTCTACTCGTTATTATTGTTTGGCAAGGATATCTACCGTTAATAATGAAGGAAGAGGTCATGCAGTTTGTCCCGTCTCAAAAACATTGCAGGACGGAGATCGCGCAATAGGACTGGAAAACATCTTTAGTGTGACTCGTAAGATTTAAGACCATCCCAGGCATCATTGGCATTTACGTTGCCTATTTTGGGGGCCTATATAGCGCTATTTTTGGAAACCTATTGTTAAAAGACAATTTTTGATTAACCCAATATTTTGGTTAACCCACTATTTTGGTTATAACCAACTTTTTCGGTTAACCAACTTTTTTCGTTTACCAAATTTTTCGGATAACCAACTTTTTTGGTTAACCAAATTTTTCGGTTAAGAAAATTTTTCCGTTAACCAACTTTTTTCGTTAACCATTTCTTTTCGGTTAACCAAATTTTTCGTTTAACCAACTTATTTGACTCTGAAAAGACGATTTGTTGTGGTTTTCGACCTTCCTCGGAAATCGTCGCCAAAAATATTTAAAAATAGCACTACGAGCCAAATCATTGCAATTTTTGTTCATCATATGATGGTCTGACGATTGGTTTTGCCGCTCCGAGCGCTGTAAAAAGAAAACTAAAGCTTTGAGAAGCTAACGGCGGGGATTAACTAAGCACACACACTTGGTAGGCTCGATTACCAGCCGCTGTTCGGGAAAATGAGCCCACGCTCATCCCCCGAGGAACGAAGACCGGACTCGAGAGAGCGGCGGAAATTGAGCCTAACACTTGGCTGTGGGAAAGGAACTTGTCACGAGTTCCAAAGTACGGGATCTGCTTACAACTGGAATCAGGAACCACACAGAACTTGAACTTCACACGTTTAATCTCGAACATAAATCTTCGATGCAAATCAACTTACAAGAATAATGGTCTCTCTATTTTATACTAACGCTAAACTCGATTGCATCATCTCATAAATACAGTTGAAAGAAGGCCGAACAAAGCCAGCCCGAAACCTGAAGTAACCTGAATACATTCAGCTGACGATCACTGGAGACTTAATAAAAGAAAGTAAAACTGTATATAAGCTCAGCTTAGAAAGTTGTGTAAAGGTAGCTTGCTTCAAAGCAGATGAAAAAACATAATTTAACTTACAACAAAATTACGAAGCTTGTTTCGTTTGAACACAAATTCCACGATACAAATATTATTTGATTCAGGCGTCACTTAAAGTTTGCTCAAAAGTACATCATAAGAAATATTATTTATACAGGTTTCGCGGCAAAAGATATATTTTTGTAGTCTACGTGAATTTAAGAATTATTTTCCCCTGACAATGGACTGATTGTCTCGCATAGAAAATTTGAATGAATTCTGTTTTGGGCCGAAAATCGAGTGGTCGGTTTTTACACGGACAGCCTCTTAAGGAGTTCAAACTCTTTTTTTAACTAAGAGACTAATTACCAACAATGTTGGGCGAGTATTAAAATGTTTGAACATCATCATACAGTCGTCACGATGTTTTTAAGTATAACTATCGGCGACTCGACTCACGTGGTGCATGTTGGACATGGGTGAAAATCTACCTTGTCCCCAGACGCCGTTGCATTTTCGTCGGTAAAGGGCGGAAAAACAGGGAGTGCGGTGCTTGATGGTCCTCTCACCTGCATCAGTCCCATACCTCCATGCGCACCACGCACAACCAAGAAGTGACGCCTGGGGACGAGGCAGGGTGACAATGTTGAGGACAATGATGGGGCCAACACTATTAGCAAATCTTGGAAACCCAGGGTGATCGTCGTACCTTTTAGGGTTAAAATTCGTGGTTTGGTACCGCTTAGGGTGTGAAAATCTAAAATGACTACCGTTAGAGTTATTCCGGTATGAAAAAATTATGACAAGAACTAGTTTTGTCTTAGAATAGGCCTTTTCACGGTTAACCTGAAATATTTGCATAACAATACAGTTAAACATAGAAGCAAGAAGCGAAGCAATTTCGGGCACAAGCTGTAAAACATCGTGATTTTCTTGAGCTCCTTGAACTATGTTAGTATAAAAATAGTTTTAAAACGGAGAATAACTTAATATACAACTATTTTAGTTAAAGTTTGCCGCAAAGATCGTAACCCGATTTCCCTGTTGCTTATGCGAATCTACTCTTTATTAACAGAGAAAAGTCGTTTTACATTTTTTTCTAAAAACAACGTAAACTAAAAGAATTGTAGTTCTTCTACATTTTAAAACTGTTTTTATACTAAAATAGTTGAAGGAGCTCAAGAAAAACACGATGTTTTGCAGCTTGTGCCCGAAATTGCCTCGCTTCTATGTTCAAGTGTATTGTTATACAAATATCACGAGTTAACCGTGAAAAAGGCTATTGGTACCTCTTAGGGGTGAAAATGAATTGGAGCCACGCCCACAAAACGAGATTCTGGTACCTTTTCGGGGTTCTTTTCAAAATTTCAGACGATCACCCCCGACACTTTTTATATGGGAGGCCCCCGGGGAAGTTGCATACAATTTATCGGTAAAAAAAGCGGGAAAACAGGGTGCACACAGAAAGGTGAAACACGACGTTTTGCTGAAATGGCGAACCAAAACATATGTAATCCTGAAAGTGAGTTTTTGTATAAGGAAAGACCCGTCCATATATTGTTGCCTTTTTATTTGTTTTATAATAATAACAAATAATAATAAAACACTTTATTTAAACAGGGTAACCATTTTTAGTCAGGTCGCGCGGTCAGTATCCGAGATAATGCTTTTTGCCAAGAAAGTTAAAACAGAAGAAGATCTCCCGGGCGTCTCCTTTCTTCTCTGCATCAGGCCCATACCTCCAAATGCACCACGCGCGCACGGCCAAGGAGTAACGCTTTGGGACGAGGCAGAGCGGCATCTTACCAGACCTCGTTTTGAAACAGAGACCTATGGCAACTTAGAAAATAGCCTGTAGGTGATTAACACTATGACGTCATTTGCACTACAAACTCGTTCCCAGGGTCTCTCTTCTTCCCGCCAAAGCTTTTGGCGGGAAGAAGACCCTGGAACGAGGTTGATTGCACTAATTAGAAAACGACACGATAATTAATTAGATCTCGTGGTTCATTATTGACATAAAATAATCTGTTAATAGAAGTTAAGTTTTGGAATCGGCACTATATATTGTTTAACAGTGGACACATCACCAGAATCATAGTTTAAAGCATTTATAGCGCAACTATTTTCTTCCAAACATTGTGATTTGTCGACTGGGAAATAACTCGTGTTGTTTTCAGTCAACCCTGGCCTGGGCACCTGCCAATTTCATCCCCGTGCCACTCAATTATCTCCCGTCAGCATTTTGCACTCGCGTAATTTGCAAATTATGTTGATATTACTAAAGTTACGTCAAGGAGGAGAGAAAATGGGCTGACAATCGGTCGCCACTTTCGATTGTCACTACAAGCTTCAATCGCCATTTCATTGGTGCCGTTTTGTACGCGGGTTGGCTTGGAAAGGAACGTATTTTGTTACATATACCGGGCAAATTTGTAGGCTTAATACCGTTAAGTCCGTTAACAATGAGCGGCCGAGTGTGAAAGGAGTCATTAGTTGAAAGTCTCATTTCTTTGCGGCAATCTCAATCAACTCGCTAATTCAAGGAGTAATTAGTTATTTTATCGATCGACGTTCGCGATTCCGTTGCTCAATCGAGCAGGTTCTGTCCAACAGAAATCAAGCCACCACCCGGACGAGAAGTCCGCGTCGAATAGATAAATGCAAAGTCAGGATTTCAAATAAACACACAGTAAAGTTGCGGTTACTAGCTTTGTTTCACTCATGGAGGCGCTGAATTTGTTCCATAGACTCGTACCTGGTCGTCAACGGCGTTATCGTCTGCATCCCGAGGATATAAATCCGGGTATCAACCGAAGCATGGATAGCATACTAGATCGACTAGATGGTTCGAAACGACGAGCAACGTACCCAAATCAATCTGAGGTAAATATATATCAATATAATACCATTTTCTTTTTATATCAAAGAGCCATATCATAGTACAAGTATATTATGGTCGACAAAAAAGATGCAATTTATAGTATACCTACAATAGCCTCTACATGTAGTTTTTGATGCCGGCTTGTTCATTAATTTAGAAATACGAAAATAATAGGAATATCAGTTTCATGTTCTTGAAGGAATGATCTCGTAGGCAGATGAGTATAGTATGTCTGTGGCTGAAGTATTTCGGTTTCCATAGTATCAGGCCCTCTATATTAGAGCTCCGTTTTTGAAATAATATTTCTGTTTATGTCAAGAAACTGATCATGAAGAAAGGCGGATTATTTCTATACAAAACCGTCGGTCTTGTATCATATTACTCGTGTACATGCACCCATGCCTAGCTTGAGCTCAAATAAAGCATTTATCAGGCGGAATAAAACCAAAAGATAAAATAAAAAAATGGTGAACAACACTGAACAAACTGAAATAATCAGTCATCACTCTTTCGTGTTTGCAGAACGGTTTCGGCATTGGTTGCTATTGAAAACGTTCGAGACTTCAAAACAGAAATTTGGTAACCAAATTTTATAACCAGAAAAAATGTATGATATACAGAAAATGTTATAAATTAGCCGTGTTGATCATGCAGTTCACGATAAAAAAAACCCTCACTGAAAGATGGTTTGAAAAA